CTTCTTCCGGTTCAACTTCTAAGGTTTCTGGCCGATTAGGTCGATCATATAGTTCTGTAATATAATTTTCCCAAATTTTCAGCACTTGCCTCTGATGTACTATTCTATTCCCCTGGGAGTCTTCGATGCTAATATTTTGAATCCCATGGTTCTGTTTCCATCCTAGTTCTTTTGTCTTCATGTACATCAACATTTTCATCATTCACACAAAAATACATTTCTTTGAGAACATAACTCTTGATCCTTTCCCACACTATTTTTCCTCTTTTGGCATCTGTGTTTTCTGTAATATATAATATACGTGGTGCAATCCAAAAGTTCCCGAAATATATTAATAAAAACTATTACATCTTACCTAGATCTTATTCTGTATCATCACCTTCAAAGTAGTCCCCTTGGGAGCGCATACACCGATCCCAGCTTTTCTGCCACTTTTCAAATGCATCCTGGAAGTCTTTCTTTGTTACGGTGTTTAGTACCATCTGCGTTTCCGCTTGAATTTCCTCAATTGTATCAAATCTTCGCCCCTTCAACTTGATTTTCATCTTGGGAAGAGAAAGAAGTCACACGGAGCTAAGTCTGGCAAGTATGGTGGGTGGGGAACAACTGCCATCTTGTTTTTAGCCAAAAATTCCTGCACAATGTAAGCTGTATATGGCCGTACAGTGTCATGGTGGAGTACCCGGTCGTTCATGCACCACTTCTCTGGACGTTTTCTACTCATATTCTCCCTCAAACGCCATAGAACATTGCTATAGAACTCTTTATTGACTGTCTGACCAGGAGGGATGAACTCCTTATGAACAATCCCGTCAATATAAAAAAAAACAGATCAACATGGACTTAATGTTGCTCTTGACTTGTCGAGCTTTTTTTTGGTCGAGGCGAAGAAGGGCTCTTCCACTGCGACGATTGCTGCATGCTTTCAGGGTCGTAGCCATAAACCAACTTTCGTCACCAGTGACAACCTTCGAAAGAAAGTTTGGATCCTCTTGAAGCTGTTGCTGAAGTTCTCTGCAGACTTCCAAGCGATGCTGCTTCTGTTCATTTTGCAGCAGTCGTGGCACAAACTTCGCCACAATCCTCCTCATGTTCGGTTCCTCTGACAAAATTCTTTGACATGTACCATAACTTAGTCCCAAGGTATTACAGAGGTCTTGGATGGTCAGTCTATGATCTTCCAGAATCAGATCCCTAACTTTTGCGACATTTTCTGGTGTTTTGGCCATTGACAGCTGTCCCGAATGATCGTCATCATCGGTCAATGTTCGGCCATTGTTAAAATGGTTATACCTGTTGTAAGTTTGTGTCTGGCCTAAACTGTTTTCACCAAAAGCTTGCTTCAATATTTGGTGCGTTTCTGCAGTGGTTTTCCCTAGTTTGAAACAAAACTTTATAGAGACATGCTGCTCTCTCAGGTCAGCCATCGCAAAACCGCAAACTCACGGAAACACAACAATGGAAATACGTTCATCAACAATAAACCCAACCACTCAACTTGACGCCACTTGCCACACTGATTCAAGAAGGATGTGTGACGAGACACCTAGTGGTATTTTGATGTACTCATAACCATTCGCGTGCAAAATTTCTGTAACTTTTGGATTGCCCCACGTATATTAGGTCAATTGTAAAATCCAGTGACCTCATTGGGAATCGAGCCGACAACCTTCCAGCTTGTAGCATAGTGCCTCAACCAGGTATGCTACCAAAAGCAACTGAGTTGTTACACTATACATACATTTCCTGGCTTGTTTGTTATACACTAGGGTGAACAATGAAGGGAGAGATTTGGAGAAGTTTAAATCTAAAATCGTGTTTTTCACTGCAAAGGGCTTGAACTTGGTACCAAGATGTGTGAGCTTTCTCTTAGTCAGCAGGAGGTGTGTAAGTGAAGAGAACTTGAAGTACATATGGTCCAAATATTCTTTTCATGATGTTATTTGGAATGTTTCAGGAAACATAAAACTCTGGCCCTTATTAAGGATAATCGTCCCATTGGTGGTATTTGCTTCCGAACATTCATGACACAGGGTTTTACAGAAATTGTCTTCTGTGCTGTAACAAGCAATGAACAAGTAAAGGGATATGGAACACATCTTATGAATCACCTGAAGGACTACCATATTGGACATAACATATACCATTTCCTTACATTTGCAGATGAATTTGCTATAGGTATGCTACTTTGTTTATTTAGCCATAAACATGCATAACAGATGCATACTTTGAACATCTTGATGAATGTCACTTAGGCACTGACTTCCCAGTTGATATGTATTATTTTTTTCACAGACCATTACTGTGGTTGGCAAAACTGGAAACAAAAATCAAGAATATTTTAAATCCATGGTTGGTGCAGGAATGCTATATATCTGAATATTGTTTATTACATTTTGTGTAAGGTGAAAATGTGTCAGTCAAATATAAATTTCCCTTAGAAATAATGTATTGTAATGGAGAAGTCACATTAAAAAGAAATCTGTTAAATTGAATTTGTATTTGTAGAATTTGTCTTAGGGAGGGAAGCTGTGAATATATTGAATAAGCAGTCGTGGACAGCCGACAAGGGGTAGCCCTCCAGCTTGTGGGTTGGGCGTGGGGCTATCAACTCCTCACCATAAAAAATTACTTTGTTACGAAAGTGAACACAAATCCTCGTGTCTGGACGGATTGCTTGGGTAAACGACCTAAGCTAAAGAAAATGGATATGAGATTTGGCACTTGGCATGTTCGAAGTTTGTATAGGGCAGGTTCACTCAGGGCAGTGGCAGAAGAAATCTTAAAATATAAGTTAGTTTGAGTAGGAGTACAGGGGGTCAGATGGGATGGAGGTGGCATCGCACCAGCAGGACAATATACATATTCTATGGAAATGAGAATGAAAATCATGAATTAGTTACAGGTTTTTTCGTACATAAGAGAATCGTATGAGCAGTTAAGAGGGTAGAGTTCCTTAGATATAGGATATCATATATAATACAAAAAGGTCGCTGGTGTGATGTCATTGTTATGAATGTTGATGCCCCAACAGAAGATAAAATTGATGACATAAAGGACAGATTCTATGAAGGACTAGAACATGTATTTGGTAAATTCCCAAAGTACCCTATGAACATTTTGTTAGGAGATTTCAATGCCAAAGTAGGGAGGGAAGACATTTTCAAACCAACGATTGGGATTGAGAGTTTGCATGAAATTAGTAATGATAATGAACTTATTCAAGCAGGAGGAGAAATATTACATTCTAAGATTCACAATCTAATTACTTCTATTTGGCATAAGGAAAAATTGCCTGATCAGTGGAAGGAGTCTATCGTTGTACCTGTTCACAAGAAGGGTGCTAAAACTGACTGTAGTAATTATCGAGGGATATCACTGCTATCAACTTCATACAAAATTTTATCCAATAGTCTTCTCTCAAGGTTAAGTCCATATATAGATGAAATTATTTGGGATCATCACTGTTGGTTTTGACATAACAGATCAACTACAGATCAGATCTTTTGCATTCGTCAGATATTGGAGAAAAAATGGGAGTACGATGAGACAGTACATCAGCTATTCATAGACTTCAAGAAAGCCTATGATTCAGTTAGGAGGGAAGTATTGTACAGTATTCTGATAGAGTTTGGGATACCCATGAAACTAGTTAGGCTGATTAAAATGTGTTTAAATGAAACATATAGTAAAGTCCATGTAGGTAAACATTTGTCTGATAAATTTCCTATCCAGAATGGTCTAAAACAAGGAGATGCTTTATCGTCACTCCTTTTCAACTTTGTTTTAGAATATGCCATTAGGAAGGTCCAGGGAAACCAGGTGGGACTGAAATTAAATGGGACACATCAGCTGTTGGCCTATGAAGATGATGTGAATCTACTGGGTGATAATGTAGATACCATAAAGAAAAACATACAAACTTTAATTGATGCAAGTAAAGACGTTGGTCTAGAAGTAAACACTGAGAAAACTAAGTATATGTTGCTGTCTTGTAACCAAAATGCAGGGCAAAATCATGATATAAAGATAGGAAACAGATGTTTCGAAAATGTGGCACAATTCAGATATTTTGGAACAACGATAACAGATCGAAACCTGATTCAGGAGGAAATTAAGAGGGAATTGAACTCGGGTAATGCTTGCTGCAATTCAGTCCAGAACCTTTTGTCTTCTTGTCTGCTGTCCTAAAACATAAAAATTAGAATATACAAAACTATAATTTTGCCTGTGGTTCTGTATTGGTGTGAAACTTGGTCTCTGACATTAAAGGGAGGAACATAGACTGAGGGTGTTTGAGAACAGGGTGTT